TATCAATAAATATAAAAAAGCAAAAGATAAAATAAATAAAATAATAAGTAAAATAAAATAAATKAAATACACATTAAATATTATTTTAGCGCATAATTTTGACCATAATATATTACTCCACTTTGTTTCAAACACTAATTTTATAATTTTGAATTTTTACCTAACATTCTCAAATGCGTTGTGTACTTTTAAAGAAAAATAACAATATTATTACGCTTAAAACTAGCTTGGCAAGTTGTATAAGCGATTTCTAGTGCTGAAATGAGCAAAAATTAGCAAGCAAAAACAATAAGAAGCCGCAAACAGAGAATTTGCGCTAAAACTTACTTAACAACAGAACAATCTGTATGCATGTATATATAATTTTCAGCGATACAATTTAGTAATAATTCGCTTAGACTAAGTATTGACGTTGCTACAACAAAAATTTATACTTCTACGACATTTAGTTAGCATTACTRCATTACAACAACAACTATTTACCTAACTACTTCCATACGTAAACATAATTATATACATATAGTTTCTTTTTAAATGCCAATTATAATATAAATTACTACTTTATAGTTTATTTTAAAATAAAAACAAAATAAAAATAATTTTTGCCAATTTATTATTTAAGTTTAGTTAGTTTTAAATGAGAATTGCAATTGTCTGCTGTATGAATTGAATAAATAAATAACTAAATTAGCGTATGTGAGCGAAATAGTTAAAACAAAAACACACACACACACACACACACAATTTAGAAATGATGTAAACTATCATAAACATCAATACAATTTAGCGAACCGTATGCAATTGACTTAAATCGAAAAAAAAGTAATAATTAATATYAAATAAATAAATGATACACAAATGAAGGAAACCAAAAAAAAATAAATATATATGTGTGTTTTATTTCAAGAAATATTATGCCTACAACTTCACAATTCGGGTACTCACAACCCGTCGCAAAGCATTGTAAAATCGTAAAGTTATAAATTTTTACAATTGTGGTTGGATTTCATACAAAAATTAATTTACACATTTRCTATTCTTAATGCTATGTTTTCGAATCGTTATAATTTATAACTTTATGAGACTTGTGAAAACCGCAAATCTACTCAGCCGTTGCAGAATTTGTGTCAAATATTGTATTTACACATAGCATGCTTTCAGGAGACACCACTTCAGCCAGAGAACGTATATTTATATAAATATTTATAAAATATTTAAACGCGTATTTATTTAAATATTTATATAAACAGAGAACGTTCTCTGCTTCAGCTAAGCTTTTCATTCCGCCATTCCATTGATTTCACTTGGTTGCCGCTTGCATTTCGCTGCATACTTTTAGGTTATATTCATTTGCCTCGTGTCTTTTAACTTCCGCTCTATGCTGGGCGTCCACCTGCTGAGCCGTTCTGCGCGCCTAGTGCATTTGGTGGCTTCGTTAGCCAATTTTGTCGGCACACGAATATGGCTTAGCAGTAATGTTGCTAGCAGTAAATGAAGAATGCTGCTGTGTGGTAAATGTTTATAAGTAAATGTTGCCAGTTTAAAGTTTTATTTGCTATGCATGTTTAACAACATTGTTGCTAAACATAAGTACACAAAATGTTTCTAAACATTGTTGTTAACGCTAAATGTTGCAGTAAACGCTATTTATTGGTCTATATGTTGAAAAAAATGTTGCTGACCTTTACTTTTCGAAATTGTATATGTTAATTACAACTTATGCAACATTTGTTCACAATGAAAATATTGCTGTGTGGTGAATGTTTATAAATAAATGTTGGGAATTAAAGTTTTATTTGCTACGCATGTTTATCCACAATGTTGCAGTAAATGCTATTTTTGGTGTTTGCAACAATGTTTCTGTGCGGAAAATGTTTATAAAAAATGTTGCGAATTACAATTTTTTTATCTAAGCATGTTTAGCAACACTGTTGATAAAAACAAATGTGAAAAATGTTTATAAACATTACTGCTTGCACTAAATGTTGCAGCAAATACTATTTATTGGTGCTTGCGCGTTGCATTTTACTGCCACTTTAATTTTGTTTCCTAGCAACAATGTTTATAACATTGTTTTAATGTTTAATGCTGTTGTTAATTTTGTTTCCTAGCAGCAATGTTATAAACATTGTTGCTAACACTAAATGTTGCAGTAAATGCTATCTGTTGGTGATTGTGAGTTACAATTTGCCGACACGCAAATTTTGGGGTGGCGCAACAATGTTTCTGTGCGGTGAATGTTTGCAAGAAATGTTGCGAACTAAAAATTTTTTTTTAAGCATTTGTAGCAACACTATTGACAAACACAAATATGAAAAATGTTTGTAAACATTGTTGCTAACGCTTAATGTTGCTGTATTTGATATTTTTATTAGTTTTTAGTTGAAAGTAAGCTGAAAAAGTTGTTTCTAACATTTTTCGTTTTATAAAAAATTATTAAGATATTAGAGTAATATATTTATGTAACATTTATTGGCAACAGAAAAAGTTGCTGAGTTCCAGAAATAATAAAAAAACCGAATCGAAAAAGATTTTGAGACCACAAAACAATTAATAAATATCAACAAATATTTACGTATTTATTTATTTAAATATTTATTTTAACATTTGTTGTATATAAAGTACATGATGTAAGTAAACTTTAAAGCTCATTCAAATTTAAGCTAAATAAAAATGGCAAAACTGGTTATTTCTAGCAACCAAGACAATGCTATAATTGCCACGCTTTAAGCCTGCTTGGCGGCAGCTGCCAATTTCTTCTCCTTCAAAAGCGCATAGCACTCCGGCACATGGGTGTAGAAGTCGCACAATTTCGTCTCCACATTGAAAGCCAAATATTTGCCACAATTGTATAGACGTGGATGCCCATTGACACAGACGAAATATTTCTTGCATGTTTTGGGATGGCGGAAATAGCGCAGCTCACCTTCGGGACTAGTGTCGACTTCCTTCTCCACACCATCGACTATCTCAGGTGGCGGGCAAGTGAAGTCGAGGAAAGCCTCAGCATTACATTCGGCAACTAGATCCGGCCAGTCACACTGATACGATTCCACATTGAATGCCAAACCTTCGGGGCATTTTGTCAGTGTTGCCTCGCCATGTGCGCAATTCTTGTAGACACCGCAATTCTTTGGATCACCGGATGAGTAGAAACCGAATTGRCGTGGACATTCAGCGGTWCCGTTAGCTGGCTGCAATCGTAAACGATCTTTGCATGTAGTGAAAGGTAAGTAGGTGCAGTCGCCAGTTGTTTTGCCGCGTTGATTGAAGAGCAGACCATCGGGACAGAGTTTCTCCTCGGCAACACCGTCTTTGCATTCCAGATAGGCGTCACATTGCGCGTCATCGGCGAAGCGGCCGTTCGGTTCGGGGCATGAACGGTCGGCGTTAACTATTTAGTGAAGAAAWAGAAGGTGTGTTAACTAAATTGGATTAAATATTGTTAAAATAATGGATTTTAACAGAAGGGTCTTAGTGTAACTTTAAGAACCAGGTTCGTCGAAAATGACCATAACTTTTGGATACGAAGAAATTCCTTTTTCGGTCTCAATGGACTTAGAGGCTATAGGATCGGAACTATTTTCTTGTAAGTATTTAAAACGCCAAGGTTGATGGAAATCCTAACCAAATTTAGGGGTTTGAAAACCACTTTCGTTTTACCTAAAAATGGTAGCGGCAAATTTACCTTCTTCAGAGCTCCACTCTGACAATAGGGAGGMGATACTATACTAGTCATGAACTCAGTTCCATGCGTTCAAGGAAGGTTAAGGAATGCCTAACCTCGTTACCATTGACATTAAGTCATTTTGCGATTAGACTAGTATGGCTGCCAGGCCAAATTGGAATCGCAGGTAACGTAAAGCTGACKAGCTGGAAAGAAAAAGTACCCTAGGTAACAAAATGAGAACAGRTCGGTGCTCCACTCCCCTCGTGTGTTCTTCTACTGGACATCTGTGTTCGCCGACGCTTGGCCAGCGTTGGGCTACCATCGCTTCATGAGTGGTCGCAAGATTCTTTTGACCCAAGATCGATTATAAGAGATGCGGTGAGCTCTTTGCCTTCAGCAAGGCTATCGGCAACTATGCTGTAAGGCTGATCCAACCCCAGCCGCTGAAACTGTATGGAAAATGACGAGATGGAATAATCTCAGCAATTTCTTCTTGATTGTGCTGCGCCTTCAACACTTGGGAGCTCACTTTYAGATATCTTACCGAGCTGGTTGTAATAGAAATTAAATRCCAAAGCAAGGTTCAAAAGGCGCTTTGCTGACTTATAAGATCAGATAAAGAAACCCAATCTATTCTAACCCATCTAAAAAAGTTTGCTTGTAAATCGTAGAGCTTCTTACTTTTACTAGGTTTAATTATGTAAAGAATTTATTTCCCTGGAATGATCTGATATTTATTCACTTAGACTCCATGTAAACACTTGAAAATCAAATATCTAATTTTCTTTTCTTTCCAATTCGTTTTTATTCAAAAATAAAAATATACATACAAATGTAGCCAAACAGATTCACCGCATTTTTTCACTATGGACTAGAGTATTACAAACAAAGAAAAAAAAAGTATTAAAGTAATAGCTTTCTCTGTATTTCTCCTTAGTATCTTCTCTTCGCTGATGCCGCCGACTGAGCTGAGAGACGCGCATTCTTAATCTCCTGACCGCGCTGTTTGACATCTGCACTGCAAGTGGGCACATTGTCGATTTCATCGCAAGTTTGTGTTTCGGGATTGAAAGCGCTCGCTTCATCACAAGCAATACGACGTGGACGACCCTCGATACAGACGAAATACACTTGACAATTCTCGCTCGATGGATAGAATTCATATTCTTGTTCGGGTTCGCCGATAAATTGACCTCTGGGCGATGGTTTTGGTGGTGGGCACTTGAAGCCTAAGAAAGCTTCGGCATCACAGTCAGGCACTTGATCGGGCCAATCGCATTTGTAGGTTTCTTTGTTCCAAGCCAAACCGTCGGGACAGTCGAAAACGAAACCACGACCGGAAGCRCAATTCTTGAATTTGCCACAGTTACGTGCATCACCCATGCCATAGTAACCGAATTGATGTGGACACTCGTCGGTTGGTTGTGCGGGCTGTGTACGTGCTTGGCCTTGTGAGCATTCTACATCGATGGGATAGCCGCAGGGATAGCCGGAAGATTTTTCATTATACAACAGACCGTCGGGGCAGAGCTTCTCTTCGGCCACACCATTCTTGCATTCRATGTAGGCGTCACATGAGCCTGAGACGGCTTGTGTGCCATTAGGTTGTTGACATTGAGCGTGAGCTGTAAGCGGAGAGAGAGAGAAGAGCATAAAAAGKTGGACATTAATAAATAATTTTCATTTAATTTGCTTACCTAGACAGAGTGGAGAATGAAGTGAAGTAGAATGATGAGTAGTTAAATTTTATTTTATATTTTTTATTTTGCACACCAAAACTTATAAAATGAAAGATGAACTGAAAGTAATGTTTTCGCATAAAATCCCGAATATTCATAAATACACACGTAATATGAATAAATAAAATTAAWTTTAGTAATAATAATAGTTCATATTTAAAAATAGTTTCACCTTGGAATAGCTTCCGAATATAACCGTGTCAATTAGTAATTAGCTAATCAACATTAAATTCTGAGGTTAAAAAAAGTGTTGATTTTTAGTTGAGTATCATAAATTTGGTARCGCCACTCAAAAAATCTTTCACCAAAAATTGTATATAGAGTGTAATATTCTAATAAACTTTACAACGAAATTTAAAGTTACCGGCAGTAAGACTGAATGGGGTAACTTCACGCTTAGCCAACTGTTAAGGGTAAGCACTATTAAGTGGTATACTGATGAGCTGAAGACGTCGGAAGGTATTGGCGCAGATTCCGCAGTACCGTGTGCCAAACTTTCCATACCCATGCGATATTTGCCAAGTCTTTGCTATAAGTCGGTATGTACGAGTACAAATAATACTGTAACCAAAAAAAAAAAAAAAAATAGTAAGACTTTTTAATTTAAATTTCGCTCGAAAATCTATTCGGTAAAATATTCCTTTCCTGGGTTGTTATGGCTGTCAGTGACATCTGTTCCAAATGTCATATGAAAATAACAATAGATTTTGTCTTACTTTTTTTTGCCCATACCTACAACGCMACTATCACAATGAAAGTATGGACTAAGCGATAATTGAGCGGCACCTAAAGCGATTTCAGCTTATGATATTATAGCGCTATTGGTGCAGCAGTGTATAGAATAGAGTATCAATTCCAAATCAAGTGCACCTCATATGAGTGCTAGATCACAAGAATGTAGCGGGAATGAACGGGCTGATGAGTTTGCCCACTCAGCAGCTGCTTCCAGATTAATAAAACCTAAAATTTGCGTAGCGGTTGGGCCTCATACCGTAAAAGAGGTGCTACGCCAGGTGAGGAGAGGGATTAACATCATCTCACAGGCATGTCCCAGGCTGCTAATAGGTGGCTACAAGCACACATTAAAAACATAATCTTGCCGAGAGACAAATTCCGACAACTTTTGGTTTCTTGAGCACTGTAGGCTCAAAAAACAGCTACTTGACTTGGATATAGGTTTTTATGCAAACGTTGGATTCATGTATCYGAACTGGTATAACATCGCCTCAATAGCACCCAGCACGATACATGAATTTATCAGTGTGCCAGACTGAGTGATTCATTGTGAGAAAGGTGAGAGCACAATAGAACTTCACATAGGTTGCTGTGAAAGCCTCAATTTATTTCTATCCATCAGATCATTTGGGCCTAAGAAAAGTGAAGGAACAGTTGGTACCAAAATCACTCAATTTTTTCGAAAAACAGCGTCGCGTTAACTAACAAGATGTCATTAAATGCGTTATTACTAATGATAGGTCGTGAATCTATGCACAACGACTCGGAAACAAACGATTAATCGACCGAATCGGCAAAGGTGAGCCGAAGTCGAAAAAAGAAAAGTTATGTGGTAAGAATACCATTAGAGTTTTATGCATCTTTTGCGCGAAGCTATTCGTAAAAAGAGCCCGGGATTATGGGTCGAGAACTGTTGGTTTTTGAATCACGATAATGCACGATTGCATACTGCTTTGATTCTTCGAGAGTTTTCCGAAAAATTTTTAAACAAAATCGTGCTGGAACCACCGTATTCGCCTGATTTTTCTCCGTTTGACTTACTTTGGGGGTATCGACATAGATATTGAAGAATAAATTGAGAATTTTAAAATTATAAACAAAGTCTTACTATTCTTTGCTCATAGTAATATATGGTATATCTGCTGTTTTGTTTCTCTGATTTTTTTTATCGTAAATTGAAAATAAAGTTTTAGAAATAAACGAGAGCAAACTTTACAAATTGATAGTGTCATGATTTGTAAGCATAAACATATTCAAAATTCATCTTATATCTAGGGCAACAAATCCGCTGCATACCAGTGTTATAGACGAATACAAATAATGATCGCAGTCTAAAGTTCATATTTTTCAAAATTTTGAGAGCAAAAGTACTTTTTGTGAAAAAAAAAACGCTTCAGTGTGACTTAAAATTTTTTATATATTATTATTATCATAACACTCTCCGCGAAGTAATGAGATTGAAAAAGGTAATTATTTCATATTTTGAACTTTAATTTTTTCTTTGTCATCGTTTTCTGTTTTTTGCAGTTTATTATGAATTGTTTTCCATAGTATAAATGCGCATTACTTATCATGTTTGTATAACTTCAAAGTSTTCAACCAAATACCGGTAATATTTTGACCTAATTGTCGGAACTTTGATTACGCAAAATACAGCTTTAAAGTATGTATTCATAAATGTAAATACTCTTATGCACGCAGATAAATAAAATTGGCATTAGAAATAACTTAAATAAATTTGTACTTCKTCATTTTGGGCAAGCAAGTGTATTTACCTACATGTGTGTATGTTTGCATGGTTATATTAGCAAATTGACAGTGTAAGTTGATTTATTTTTTATGGTTTGCCATGAGTTATCATAGTGCACCCAATAAAAATTTTAATGGACTTAAAAAAAAAAAAATTAAAAAGTAAGATAACAAATGCACTGAAAGGAACATTAACAAAGAAATAAATTATTTGATGAAACAATGTTTTATTGTATTATTTTAAAAAATATTTAATATTTGTTTTTAATGTTTTAATTATAAATTATACAAACGTACTATTAAATATGTTCACTAAGGGGGTCTTCCCAAATAGCTTCTTTTTAATAAATCCATTTTACAGCATTCATATAATGTGCTGGTGATTTTTCGAAATTGATTTTAGTTGAAAAGTTATAGGAGTGAGAAAGTAACCCCTTTAGAGCGTGTGGCCTACAAATCTGAAATTTCAAATGGGTTTATCGCGAAACATTTATTCAACTTACGACCACGATTTCTCAAAAACGGTTTCGTAGGTAGCTTTGATATTTCAATGACAGATTCATCCGACATGTGGCTATCGAGATCTAGGATTTTTAAAAAATAGTCAACTGCTTTTTCAGAAAAATTATGAAATTTTGGATTTTAATGTTTACATGCATTACTAAAATTTTATTTTAAAGATTTGCTAGTTGCTAGTTCCGGCGATAGTTATACATCCACACATTAACATGCAATTTGCTTTTTTGATTTTAAGTTAGCCAGTCTACTGGAAACATTATCTCGCAATTAAAAAAGTCTTGCTACTTAAAAAATTCAAATATATCAGATATACTCGTAGTAAAATTTTAAAATTCTATGTTTTTCCATTTCGCTATAAAAAAAATTTAAAAAATTAGGCTTGTGTTTATTTTTATTTTTATTGTGCGTATGCTTGGTACTCGCTCAAACGTTCAGCTCAGCCAATACGGTGCTGAA